TGTAGTATCTTTATAGCTAAAAATACGTATCATGGTGTATCTTTATGGCTTAATGGTGTGTCTGTCTCCTGATAAAAACAGACGTGAGATTAACCAGTTCCCGATCAACGTTATTTGTGGGAGGTCTCTATAACCACTTTAGCCCTGAAGGAATGGTCTCGTGGTTATAATATAATCGTCTGAGGCGAGTATATACAACATTTTATTGTTAATTTGAAAACATAAAATATGACTGTTTCATAAACCATATGCTAGATGCAAGTATATTTTAGATTTGACAGCTGTATACTAAGTTGAAGATGTGTGGCAATATGAGATCAGTAAATTCAACGTTGTGAATTGATCCTCATCCCGGATAAAGAAATTATTAATCCATGCTGGATTGCTGGTTTTGGTATATTTAGAAAACTTTCGCATGAATTAAGACACAAATCCAATTCCAAGACTGTCTAATGTTCATCTATATCTTTGTTTTAATCATTTCATCGCAAGCAAGGCAATAAATCAGCTGAGATGCAAGGGGATCACTGAGTGTGAAAAATAGGACTGAAAAAAAGATCATTAAGGAGAGAGTAATATAAAAGAACCGGAATTAAGAAGACAAAAGATAACGATTAAAGTTGCATTCAAATTTTTGAAGATCAAATTTGACTGGAAAACAAGAGGCCGGAAGAGGAGAGTTCCACAAGCAAGAAGAGCGAGAGAAGAAACTGTTAGCATAGAACCTACGGTTACTTCTATCCATTTTAGCTATTTCAATCTAGTTATGCGCTTAAATTCGTAAAGACGAGGTACAAAGAAAAGGAAAACTCATCGAAAAAACTACCATGAATATATTTATAGAAAACAGCACACACAAGCTGTATTACAATGGTAGAAAAGCGACTGAATAATAGATGCCAGCCATGGGACGATACCATTGCAGATTCTTCTTTAGATTTTACTAAGAATATCTAAGTATATAGCAGAAGCACCAGACCAGATGTGGCAGCAACATTTAATTTTTCTTTTTTTTTTTTTTTAAGAGGCGGGAAGCCACTAGGACGCAAGGGGTTACAGAAGATTTGGAGCAAGATCAGATAGGAGTGATAGAGGAAAGGATGAGGAGAAGGGTAGTGGATAGATCAAGACAACTGGAGATGTCTATTTACATTACATTTGAATAGTCGGAGATTATAGCTCTCAGGGAAACTGGAATAGGGAAGGGAGTTCCACAGGCGAGAGGTGCGAGACATGAAGCTATTAGAGTAGAAGAGACGGCTACATTTAGTAGTTTTGACAGTGAAATGGTGAGAGCGGGATGCCAGCCTTGTAAGGCGCTTGAACTCATGAAGTCTGGGAACCAGCGAATGCAGCTCCTCGGAGCAATTGCCATGAAAGTATTTGTAAAAAAAGACAGAGAGAGGCGACAGCGCGTCTGTGGGAGAGGGACTGTAGACGAGATGCCAGAACAGGGCCAATTATATTGCATATCCGCCTCTGGATCTTATCAAGAACCCCGAGGCAAACAGAAGGGGCTCCAGACCATATATGACAGCAATACTCCATGAAAGGGCGAATTGTTGATTTGTAGATCTGGAGGATCGATACCGGGGAGAAAAATTTATGCATAGACGAATGGTAGATATATGAATGTGTGAGATAGAAATTAGTGAGAAAAATTGTCTATAGTTTGTAATGGATAAATGGTCGTCTAAATTACACGAACATGAAAATTAGTCGGGTTTCCATACCGGCTTGAAACATGTTGCGATAGATAAATGGTCGTCTAAATGACGCAAAAATGAAAATAACACTGGCATCTCATTTTAACGGATATATTTACCAAAATTACACAAAAATATCTTGAAATACAAAAGAGTAAATTTATTCAATAAATTCACCATTGGCCTCAACCACGGCTTCCAGACGACTTCGGAATCCCCTTCAACTCTTTTGCATGGTCTCCTTGTTAAGTTGGTGAACGCTGCCATAATCCTTGCCTTCAGGTCATCTTTGGTGTTACAAGGATTTTTGTTGGTCTCTCGCTCAACTGCGCCTAACACAAATTACTTAAGGGGGTCGCAGTGTGGGGAGTTAGGTGGCCGAATGTTAGGGGTGCTGTGATCGCAGAAATTGTCTAACACCCACGATTATGTTCTCCTGCATGTGTGGCATATTTCAGAGTCCTGTTACCATATATAAGTCTTCTATCAGCCACCCTCTTGACCCAGGGCAGCACTACCTCCTCTTGATTATTTAGAAACATTCGCACCATGTTTCTGTCACTGGTATGCCACCAGATTTTGGGAAGCAACACCAATAAATAATCTCTTGAAGAAACTTTATTTTAATTTCAAAAGCAAAATAAAAAAATTATGCTTATGAAATTAAATACATGTTTCACTCGGCAGTGGTTTAACATCGCATGAGGAGACACATTTGTAGTGTTGAAACATAATTGTCATTATGTAGCGATTTTTAACATGTTTTAATATCCTAAAACAAATGATATTTAGCTCTACTTTGTATTGACCCCTCTTTCTAATTAAATGTTATGTACAGTGAAATTATACTCCATTTGGTTTTAGGGTGTATCAAAAATATCCTTACAACGTTTGTAGGCTGATTCCTGACGCCAAAACAATGTAAAATACTCATATGTCAAATGGACATGTCGAATGCGTTCTTCGTGGTCAGGCGTACGAACGGATCTCTGTCTACCTCGATCCATAGTTTGTAGTGCCATGTATCCTGTCGCAAAGGTTGGATGACTCGGCTCACTTTGGTCTGGAAATACAATCTGATACAGCCGTGCAGCCTCGCGTCCATTACTATTTTCGCGGCCGTATGTAAAAATCATATCTGCCTGCTCACGATATGAAAATCCTGCAAGTCTTAAACGGAACACTTCTCAGTTAACTCATTACTGCACAATTTAAATGTTGACGACAGATTAACCACAAATGTACACGAATAACAAAAGTAACCTAGACTATATATATATATATATATATATATATATATATGGCACCATCTATTTACATTATTTACATTGTTCGGCCTGTTGTCTTCATCTTCGTTGCCATATATTCACGACATTTAAGCCATTGTACATTTTGGTCTTCTTAGGTGATTGGAATTTCGAACTCAAGGATACATGTTCCAATGGATAAAAGCTGGTTGAATCCAGTGTCTTAACCCACAGTGTTATGAGTTCAATACCTGGCTACAGCGGAGGTGAGCAAAAACTTAGAGCTGAGATAAAAGGGAGAAAACTGATACTGGGACATCCGGAAGAGGTATAACACGTGGAACTAGAACAATCTACCCCGGACGGACGAAAATAAAGGGTGGGATTCGAAATTCCAATCACTTAAAGAAGGCCGGAGCTTTCAATGGCCGAAACATCGTGAATACGGCAATGTAAATAGTGTAAATTAATTACAATACAACATCTCAGAAATACAGACAGTATAGCGACCTCTACCGTAAACTTTCTTTACACTTAACTCACAAACGAAGGATTTGCTGACTTGTGTTTATATAGAATTTTGACCTTATTTTGATGGGAGGAAACCTTCCCCAAAGTTTGTAAAAGGATTTTGATTCGCCCTGCATACATATATATATATATATATATATATATATATATATATATATATATATATATATATACTCTAAGACACAAGTGTGTGTGTGCATATATATATATATATATAGAGAGAGAAAAGAGAGAGAGAGAGAAAATTCCTTGTAATAAAACAATATATATATGTATGGAAAGCGAATATGTATACACATACTATCACAAACACACACGCGTACACAATACACAAAAAAGGAGATAGGTCTAAAAAGATAAAGGGGTCATAAAATGATAAGAATAAAGATCTTCTTTCGCTCTTTCTCTGACCAATTCTCATGGTTTTATTACCCCTTAAGCAGAAGAATATTTTCTCAACAAGTCTAAGAAAAAAATGGATTACTACTACACACAAAAGACAATGGTCAAACATCGGAAAACGTAAAAACAATTAATTCCTTTTAATATGTGGAAATAACCACACTTTGCCTGATAAAAGTTGTGAGACCGGAAACCCGTGTAGCAAAAAATATGGAAAATCAAGTCTAATATATATTTAAGAAATTCACATTATAACCAAAAACGTTTGCCGCTTCTCTCCTCTCTTTAAAATATAGACTTTTCTCTCGTTGCAACCACTATAATCTCTCCTGTATAAATATATATACAGTGTAACCCGGATATAAGAGACCCGGATATAAGAGAAACCTGGATATAAGAGACTTCTTCTCCGGTCCCGACAACTCTCTTACATACGGGTTACACTATATATATATATATATATATATATATATATATATATATATATATATATATATGTGTGTGTGTGTGTGTGTGTGTGTGTGTGTGTGTGTTCGTGTATGTGTGTGTATATGTGTGAGAGAGAGGGAGAGAGAGAGAGGGAGAGAGAGAGGGAGAGGGAGAGAGAGAGAGAGAGACAGGTAAGTAGAATAAGAAAGCAACCATGACTGTAAATATTTTAGAATGAAACAAAATAGCTTGTCTGCCAATGTCATGGCTCATGGCGGGCAACTTGGCGGAAATATATTGATGCCCATTGATTGTCCTCGTACAAACTAATTTCCATTTTTTCTTTCTTCTATTTTTACTTTGTTTGATTTATAAACCTTATTTATTTATTTATTTATTCCTGTTTTGCGAGTCGGTTCACCTCGGGCTGAGTGTGAATGAGGTCTGAAAAAGGAAACAAGACAGTTTAGAAAACTTAGATGAGCTTAACGTTTGGAAAATGCAAATTGATTCCCCAAAACTAACCAACAAATGCATGGGCTTAATGTTAGGTCGACATTTCATCAATCTTAAACCTATTTAAGATTCAGCTTCTTGAGAAAGATTTTCCTCAAATCATCAATCGTTTCATGTGTTGAGACATTTTGTCAAGTTCCCTTAATTTTGTCCAATCAAAACGCTACAGTTCTCTCTCGGGCCTTCTTGCTCTCTCTGCCCCATCTCCTTTTCTTTCTCTCTCTCTCTCTCTCTCTGTCTCTCTCTCTCTCTCGCACTCCCCTTTTCTCACTCTTTTTCCACACTACCTACTCATCGATCTCCTACTCTCTCTTTTTCCTTTTTCTCCTCCTCTCTCTCCCCATATTTTCCCTCTGTCTCTCACAACCAATCACCGTACCCATCGCCCACTTTCACATTCCCTTTCTTTTTCCACTCCTTCCATCGCTTTCTTATCACTCTCACCTCTCTCTTTCTAGATATCTCTGCTCTCTCCTTCTCTCTCTTTCTATCTCTCGCGCACACCCTCTTTTTATCTCTTTCAATCTCTCTCATTTTCTCTTTCACTCTTTATCCTGTTCTCTTGTTCTCACTCTCCAACTCTCTCTTCATTTATCGCTTACCCCTCTCTATCATATTTATCTCCTCTCTCTAGCGCTTCCTAACTCTCCAACTAACTCTCCCATAATTACCTTTCTCCCTCCATCGTCTCCACTTTTCTCTCCTCCTCTCTCACTCTCCTGCCTCTCTCACTCTCTCTCTGTCATACACACGCGTCAATCTGCATAGATTATAATTATATGTGTTAGTTTATAGAGTTCAATTTTCTCTAACCGCTCCAAATTTGAGATTTGTACCGTACGTTAAGCTTAGTAAATACACCTGTAGTCTTCTGTGCTTTTTTCATGGCTCGACACAACTTCATATACTTGTAACTGTTTGCATTTTTTTATGAACCTTACTTCTCCTCGTTTTCCGATTCATTTGCATAAGCTCCTCAGGTAGGTGGCTCGCTGTCACCTCCTGTCTCTATCTATCTATCTATCTATCTATCTATCTATCTATCTATCTATCTATCTATCTATCTATCTACGTCTGTTCGTTATCTATCTAACTATCTATCTATCTATTTATGTCTGTTCGTTATCTATCTATCTATCTATCTATCTATCTATCTATCTATGTCTGTTCGTTATCTATCTATCTATCTATCTATCTATCTATCTATCTATCTATCTACGTCTGTTCGTTATCTATCTATCTATCTATCTATCTATCTATTTATGTCTGTTCGTTATCTATCTATCTATCTATCGCATTCTACTCATTATTTAACTATCTCAATCTGTTCATTTTCTCTCTATCTATCTATCTATCTATCTATCTATCTATGTTTGTCTTTTTCCTCACACTTTTGTTTGAGCTAAATAAAATTAGTGCGTAGAATATATCTTTTAAAATTATTATAAATAGAAGTACTCGTGAGCATAAGCGCATCAGGTAGGTGGCTCGCTGTCACCTCCTGTCTCTATCTATCTATCTATCTATCTATCTATCTATCTATCTATCTATCTATCTATCTACGTCTATCTATCGTCTATTCATTATCTATCTATCTATCTATCTATCTATCTCTATCGCATTCTACTCATTATTTAACTATCTACCTATCTCAATCTATCTATCTATCTATCTATCTATCTATCTATCTATGTTTTTGTCTTTTCCTCACACTTTTGTTTGAGCTAAATAAAATTAGTGCGTAGAATATATCTTTTAAAATTATTATAAATAGAAGTACTCGTGAGCATAAGCTCATCAGGTAGGTGGCTCATGTCACCTCCTGTCTCTATCTATCTATCTATCTATCTATCTATCTATCTATCTATCTACGTCTGTTCGTTATCTATCTATCTATCTATCTATCTATCTATCTATCTATCTATCTATCTATCGCATTCTACTCATTATTTAACTATCTACCTATCTCAATCTATCTATCTATCTATCTATCTATCTATCTATCTATCTATTTTGTCTTTTTCCTCACACTTTTGTTTGAGTTAAATAAAATTAGTGCGTAGAATATATCTTTTAAAATTATTATAATTAGAAGTACTCGTGAAATTTCCACGGTTTTACTGTTTAAACTTTCCGATGAATATTAATTTTTAAGTTAATGATTGAATAAGCTCCTTACGGGGTACACAACTCGGAAATATCCATGGAAAATCCTCTCTTGCATCAGCTAACCGATGGAAGGCAGTGCACGACTAGCTACCCGTCTTCCCATATGCATGCTTGATGTCGCGACTTGTTTTATTTTTACCGCGTAATTTCAAAATTACCTTTACTTTCTGATTTACCCTTGTATTTGTGGTTTTTATCTTTGACCATTCCCAATCAATTTTGCATATAATCATCATCTATTTGGCGTGGTAATAATGGCCCTCCACAGCATCCAATCCCTTTTAGCCCATTTAGAAATATCTAAACTGTCAGAGGTATGCATTCGCTTTCTCCGACCAATGATTAAAATTTGAGTAAATTAAGACTGCGGGTTTTAGCGCAGGCTATTCTTTTTCAGGGCTTGTGGATTGGCGCTACAACATCACTAACAACTTTGTGATTAACAACTTTAAAAACTATTCCTATGACAACCATAAATGTGAAAGCAGGTCATTATTTAAAGAAGTAACAAGGTACAAATGAAACTAACAATGTTTTCCATTCATGCGTTTTTTCAAGGGCATTTGTGAGAAGGTGAATGCACCTACCTGGATTTGAACTCAGCTCGCTGATTTTACTTTCCGTATAGATAACTTTACGCTACTTGCACACTCTCCAAAAGATTAATAACGCCATTTTCTTTTTTGATTGATTTTTAATTAGTAAGACTTTTAACTAATTAACAAGTAGGAACTGTCAACTCTTCACTCACCAGTTTCGATAGAGTCAAAAGCGTCTACGCCGCCTTGTGGATACTGAATTGTTTTCCACGTTACAACCCTTTTTCTATAAACGAAACGTTTCAAGCCTCTCACTAGTCTATCGCTATTTCCATGGCGAATGTTCAGACGAGCTATACTGCCACCAGTTCCAACCCACACAGCTAAGAGCTGCCATGTCACAGATATCATAGCGAACCACCCCCCATTCCCTTCGTATTCCAGTGGTGTGGCTTACGGCCACATAATATAGAAACACCGCTTCCCGTACGATCACCGATGTTAAGCAACGTCGAGCCTGGTCGGTACCTAGATGAGTGACGTCTTGGGAATATCAAGTGCTGTAAGATTATATGTGCGGGTGGTGTAATGAATAATAACTCGGAATTGTTAGTCGGAGAGCTGAGTTCCAACTACCTTTGTGTTCGTTATATTTACTCACGCGCTTGGAAACGGTATGAATTCGCCTCTTCTCCCTTCAGCTATGGTTTAATTAGTAAGACTTGTATCACTAAATTATTATTATCTCAAAGAAATTTCTTACAATCTAAAAATATTTTCTGGCTATAAATAACCTTTTAAGGGTTGATAATCCGTCGAAAATGAATGAATGAATTAATCATTCCATTAGTGAGCCGTAAGTTGCACTTGAACATCTTACGCTCACGAATCTCTATATGGTTGAACCGATTCCCAACAGGAGGCTACCTTGATCAGTACACTCTTAATCTGTTCAAATCTAGGGCGTATTATCGGTGGAAAATCATTGCATCAACTGACCTTATTTCCCCCCACATACCCTGTACCTAAAAATTTTATCACTTACCCGGTAAGACTCTTCCTTGATTAGTTTATTGACCTTGTACAGATTGAATATTATAGCAAAAAAATAGTAATAGTTTGTACCTCATAATATTTCTATATTATTATATACAAATGTATGAAGCAGATTTTTACAGGACTAACATTATACTGTTCAATAATAAAAAAGATGAGGTAAAAATCTTCAGAATCTTTTTCAGCAATTTTCGACTTTTTTTTTTTTTTTCTAAAATCGTCGTCATCGGTTTTATTTCGTAATCAAGATGTGCATTTCTCCTTTGCTGATCACTTCTCTCATGATGATGATGTTGATGGCTACATTCACCACCAACGTGCAAGTACAGCACTAGATGCTTTCAGTTTCACCAAAACATGTTCCTGTTATCCATTCCCTACCGCTGTTTGGCTTTGCAAGATTTGGCTGAAGGAGAATGAAAATCAGAGTAGAAGACAGTTTCATTGGCGTGAATTTGTTTAAGGTGGACTTCAAATTGCCAGGAAGTGACCCAGACACTTAATTTCATGACCTTTCTCAGCGGCACATATTGAATGACACATGCAGAATCCAGTTATGAAACAGCAACGGACTGCCGCTGAATCTGTTATAATTTCGCCTTCTGTAGCATGTCCGTCGTGCGTAGCCCTCTTCATCCGCTTGTTCAACCGTTGAGATCTGTTCTATTCATCAGCCGCTTGTTCCACTGTTGGGATTGGTCGCGCTTAATCTGGGTGTTCATCTTTGACCTTGTCGCCAAGGATGCCTCTAACAGGAGTTTAGAACACCCAACGTTATCATGTTCAGAGTAACTGAAACGCACAAGCCTCACAACCACGACAAGGTGCATCTATCAGAGGTACACACATTGAAACATGCATGCATAGATACACATACCGGGTGTAACAGCAAAATTGTCCAATTGTTAGACTAACATTTGAACCGTTGTATCTTAGAAATGATTAAAGATATATCACTGGAATTCTCCGACGCTTTTATAACTCTATTGGTCTCTACTTTGAACAATAAGAATTATTAGCTCTAAGTTGAAATGATGATCCTCTTCCTGTTGTGACCTCCTGGTCCAATTTTCCCCTTTATTGTTCCCTCTTTTTTAAAATTAGTCACCGTTCTCTTGTTGGTTCTTGAATGCACTTTGAAGATGGAAACCAAAGTATGAATCTTGGTACAATTACGGAAGGCCTGAATGATCTTTTTCCTCTCACCATTGAACACTTGGGAAGATATACCGGGGATGACACAAAACGATTTTAACCTGTTCTTTTTCCAGCTGAATAACTCAGTGTTTTTTTTCTTACGGTATATGGTATCAAAAAGGCTAAACATCTTATCTGAAAAGGAGGATGAAAAAAAACACATTTAGTTTACTGATTTTTTATATATTAAATATTTTGTTGGTGGCATATATATTTTACACTGAATGTTGGTGTAAACAGTTCGTCATCAAATATAACTTTGTTTAATGACAGTAATAGAAGGAAAACAATAAATAAAAAAATATTGATAATATAAAATATATGAGAACATTTTTCGTTGAGAATATTTGAAGACAAATAATAGAGGACGAAATTGAACCAAAATATTAATTAAAATATTCTGAACCAAAATATTAATAAATTAACATTCTGAACTAAAATATTAATTAAAAAAATTCTGAACCAAAAGATTAATAAAAAGAATATTCTGTACCAAAAGATTAATAAAAAAAACTTTCTGAACCAAAAGATTAATAAGAAAACATTCTGAACCAAAACATTAATAAAAAACATTCTGAACCAAAAGAATAATAAAAAAAATTCTCAACCAAAAGATTAATAAAAAAAACATTCTGAACTAAAAGATTAATAAAAAAAATCATTCTGAACCAAATGATTAATAAAAAAAATTTCTCAACCAAAAGATTAATAAAAAACATTCTGAACCAAAACATTAATTATAAAAATTCTGAACCAAAAGATTAATGAAAAATAAAATTCTGAACCAAAAGATTAATAAAAAACATTCTGAACCAAAAGATTAATTTAAAAAACATTCTGAACCAAAAGATTAATACAAAAAACCTTCTGAAAAAGATTCAAAAAAGAAAAAAAACCTTCTGAATAAAAAAACATTCTGAACCAAAAACATTAATGAAAAAAAAATTCTGAACCAAAAGATTAATAAAAAAAAATTCTGAACCAAAAGATTAATAAAAAAACATTCTGAACCAAAAGATTAATAAAAAAACATTCTGAACCAAAAGATTAATACAAAAAAACCTTCTGAACCAAAAGATTAATAAAAACATTCTGAACCAAAACATTAATAAAAAAAATTCTGAACCAAAAGATTAATGAAAAATAAAATCCTGAACCAAAAGATTAATAAAAAACATTCTGAACCAAAAGATTAATAAAAAAAAACATTCTGAACCAAAAGATTAATACAAAAAAACCTTCTGAACCAAAAGATTAATAAAAACATTCTGAACCAAAACACTAATAAAAACAAAAATAAAAACAACAACGAAATAACGAAGCTAACAAAACGAAATAACGTTAGGACTAAAATCGCTTTTCTTACAAAGTTGAAAATATTATTTCTAAAATAGATATCAATTAATTTGATATTTTGCTAACCTCTTTATGCGTTTTTAATAGTTTTAAGAATATGCGTGCAGATGTGAGCGTGTGTTTATTACATCGCTGAGCGCACGCATAATACCGTGCGTGTATATGTGTTTAGTCAGCTTACGTTTTTTTTTTATTTCTGTGTTCCATCTTTCAGCCTTCTGTGGTAAATTATGGCATTTCAGCCGTTACAAATGTCATCAATGCACGAAGAAGGTAGCGATATCAAACATGTGAGCACACACGTACACACGCACATACACATATTTGAGCTCGCACGCACACACAGATCATACAAGCATAACTTGTTTTCACACCTGAGTTGTGTCATTGGTCTCAAGTGCTTACCATCATAAGGAGCGGTCAGGGCAGGTGATGTCCTTGACCGTTGCGCAGCAGCGACTTATTTAAGGGGAAATGTTAAGAGAAGACAGCATTCAATGGATATTCAAAGCCTAAATTCGAGTGTCGTCTTAATACTTCTGATAAAAAGATCCGTTTTGTCTCCTGTACTGTAGATAAGAGAGCGATTTCCTCATAGGTGCGTGTCAGGTTTAAGTAGGAAAGAAAAGTCGAGTAGAGAAAGAGGGAAAATATAAACAAAACGGCAACAATAATCATAATATAAAAAAAAGACTAAAAAGAAATTATGACCGGGGGGGGAATAGAGATGGGTAGAAATGCGAGAAAGAATAAAAGAAATAAAATGAAATAATTCTATAGAAAAATAGTTATAAAAACTGGAATGAAATATCGAAAGAATTAAAGCAAAAAATAGTAGAAAACAAAAAAGAAGAAAAAGGAAATAAAAAAAAAGAAAATAAACATCACAATGTATAAGACAGAAAAAAGTTTTTCTTTAAAAAAAAAGAATAGAAAAGAAATTAATAAAATACCTTTTGGACTAATACGTTGGTTTAAAAATATCGGGTTCAATCCATTGGTCTGGTAGTGCTAAAAAGTCACATTGCTCTGCGGAAGAAATGAACAAAGGATACCAAGGTGAATAAGAATTGTAAGTATCAGCCGATATTAAATACCCCCCGATATATATTAATAAATAGTGCATTCATTGGTTCCACAAAATTACAAATAAAGATAAATATGTATTTATAAAATACGTCATAAAAAAACAACATTTATCCATCTATATCTAAAAAGGGTTTGCTTCGCCAAAGGCTTCATAAATATAAAACCTGAACAAATGAACATCATTTTACATTGCCGTAACTAAATTTTATTCCACAATGGAGAAGCTTGCATTAAAAAATGAAAAAAGGACGACTTCAATGTACAAAAGGGTTCGTTTGATGGCGCTGAGTTTCAGATTTAATAGGCCTACATATTTTATACGAAATCAACAAAATTGTACATATAAACAATCATTTCCAGTATATGGAAGACGGACTAATGGTAGTGGCAGACAACAGAAGAACAAATGACAATATAAGAAAAGCGCTTTTCAAACACTTCAAAGGCGTCGACTTTGAAAGAGAAGTCGATATGAATAGGAAAACTGTCAAATATTTATATGTAAAATTAAATCTACAAACTGGCAGTGTCTCCCCATACATGAAAAATACGTGAAAGTTAGATCCAACCACCCAGCGAATATAATAGAGCGAATCCTCAAAAGAAACAAAGTCCAGGTTACTAGAAATTTCTCTAGTAAAATAATTTTCGAAGATAAAAATAAAGAATGTGAAAAATTAATTTAAAAGAAGAGGAACATAAAACCAAACTGGAATTTAAACCGCAAATAAAACAACAAATAAAGAAGAATTCAAAGAAAAGAAAAAATATTTTGTTTAACTCCCACCCTTTTTACTTAGAGGTCAAGTGAAAAATAAGAAAATATTTTTCAAATTACTTAATAAACTAAAATTCCGAATTGCATAAAATATTTAATAAAAACACAGTTAAATTAAGCTGTAACTGTACTAGTAATTTAGAAACCCCAATAAAAATACAAAACGCCAGAAGTTTAAAAAAAAAACTAAGGAGCAACATAACATCGTTAACAGTGAATAAAAATTTAAAAAAAAAGATGTCCATTAAATGGAATTTGCAAAACTGAAGCTGTAATTCACAAAGCAGAAGTAATAGATACAAATGGCCAGAAAAATATACATAGGGTATACTGAGGTAACTTTAAGAAGAGGTTGTATAATCATAAGTCAGGAATTCTACTATGAAAATTAGGAATTCTACTAAAATAGCCAATGTGGAAATTAAAGGAAAAAAAAATAATTTAAAAATCCGATAGTAAACTGGAAAATTTTAAAAAAAAAAGCAAAATCTTACAACAATCATAGCAACCTTTGTCAACAAGAAAACTTAGCTATAATAACATTTCCCAATGAATTTTGAATGGGAGAATGGAAAATATGACGCGTTGTATACACACTAAAAAGTTCCTTTTCAGTTCATATGAAGTGAGATGTAAAGAAAATATCTATATTTCATTTAACCCGCCACCGATACATTTACAATACACTTACTTCCCCTTTCTCGTCCTTCTCCTCCCCCTCTTTACCTGACGTCGTGCGCTTATTCGTTCATTTATTTTTTAAACTCATAATACTTTTTTTAAAAGAAAGCGTTAAGAAATCAATTCACCGATATCGACTGAAGATACCGAAAAGGTAGCGGAATCGGCTGATCTGTTAATTTTTTATACTTATAATTTATATAACGTTTAAATAACGTTTGAACTATATATAATATATATATATATATATATATATATATATATATATATATATATATATATATAATGAATTAATGGACCTATTAGTAATCTGATATTTATATTAGTTCAAACGTTATTTTTAATGGATACACGTAGTTGAATAGACGTCCCGTTTTATAAACAGTGTGTATGGTGACTACTGACATACGCACTCGAGAAAAGCTAATAAAGAAAATCCCGGAGAGTGAGCACGTTTTCTTTATTAGGTTTTCTCGAGTGTTCAGGCCGGTAGAAATAATAAACGCCGTTTACAAAAAAAACGGGCGTCAATTAAAACTATCCGCTAAAAATAAGTTTTGAAGTAATAAAAATGTCGGATTAATAATAAATCCATTAATTAATTATATATATATATATATATATATATATATATATATATATATATATATATATATATATATAAAAGGCAACGACACTAATTCACGATACCCAAGGTTTAAAATGAGTTTTAATAAATGAAAATTATTTCTTGAAATATTTAATTTCAAGTTAATAGACTAAATTTAATGTTTATATTTCAAAACTAATTTAAATTGACTCGAAGGAATTTTTTCCTAACAATTTTGATTCTAGAGCCCTTTTTAGACCGCTTTCATTATAATGTAATTTTCTTAGAAAATCTTCCAAAAATGAAATATACTCATATGAAACTTTCAGGAACATCAGGTGCTTTAAAGTATAATTCACCTGATTTGAAACAAATATTTCTTTTTTTTATTTTAAGCTTAAAATATTTCAGAAATACTTTTTAATTTAACCCGACAGTAGCAGTTTATTTAAGGTGTTCACGTTCCGATTGCGTGATAACGTGTCTAATGTTGTTCTACGAGGACATTATCTGTAAAAGAAAATATATAATTTTCAAATACTCAGTAATCATAAAAATTTACGAAAGTATTTTTTGTAATCTAATGGTTTCTTGAATACAGTAAAAAAAATATTTAAAAAATAATTTCATTTATTTGTTCACTAGCATCATGGCCCGGCGTTGCGTGTGCTTGATTGAAAAATTGTACGACTCATACAGCAATCTCTATAACTTGACTTAAAATATTTTTGCCCTTCCTTGCCTTTAAAGGAGTGCCCTTTGCCATGCTGATGTTGCTACATGCCTTACTTCTTGCTTATCTCACACTGCGACTTTTTTCTAAGCTCTATACTAAACATTAAATCTGTTACGAAAAAAGAACTAAACAAAATGAACACAAAACGATCAGTTTTAAAAAAGGACTAGTAACAGGAAAAACCGATTGAAAATAGAATGTTAACAACAAATACTTTTTCATACCCAACCCAGTTCTGCAGAATCAGAATCAACGTTGATGTTTAAGCAAGCAAATGAGCCAATTGGAGTAAAGTGCCATGCAGATTTAAATTTTCCCCACTTGTGACGAATGCAGCTATCGATTTATTTGCATGCTAGCATGCTAGTTAATATTCGTGTTAGTCAGCTGTTGACTCTCATGCTCGCCAGTAGAATCTTCCTGTCTATTCGTGGCAGCCAGCAATAGGCTCTCATTCTGGCCAGTAGAAAATGGCCGCAAACTACATGAAAACTGCCGTAGAAGCATGAAAAAATCGATTATTTCCACTATCGATGGGAGTTGGGTCGGTCTTGGCCTTCCCGCTAACTTAGAGCATGTGCATGTAAATTTTGGTGCAAATCCGTTGCAAAATTCGTTACACACACACCACACACACACACACACACACACACACACACACACACACACACACATCCTGTCTTTTATAGATAGAGATACATCCTGAAAATTTCTTTAAAAATCCGGCAATTATTTGATTCTTGCAACAATTTCAAAATCTTTTTTGTCTTTTATTTCCTATACTAATCTTTGCAGCCCCGACCCAGCCGCTAATAAAAAATACGATTTTTAACTAAAAATTCGAACGTTCTAGAATGGATTAAAACATTTAATAAAATAACCCAAAATACTTTGGTCTTTCTTAATAGGAACATAAATATTTTGAGGATTAATTTTGTTTTTATTAAGCTTGGGTCTTTTATCATCATGGTATGTCGTTTTTTTTTCAGTGAATTAGTGGAGGTACACACATGCATACACACACACACAAAGACATATATATATATATATATATATATATATATATATATATATATATATATATAGAACAGGTTATAGTTGTTCCAACGAGAGAAAAGCGTATATTTTAAAAGATGAGAGAAACTGCAAACGCTTTTCGTTGTAATGTGTATTTTTTTTTTTAAGACAAAATATATTTTATTTTCTATAATTTTGCTACGCGGGTTTCCGGTTTCGCGCACTTCTTCAGGCAAAGAGTGGATATTTCCACATATTATTAAAATGAATTTCCTTATGGTTTCTGATATTAAACATTCTCTTTTTTGGGGGTAATAGTGACACAAATGTCTTTCTTAGAAGGGTGGTAAGAATATTCTTCTGATTGAAGGGTAATAAAACAATTA